GAAAATTATATAAAAAAGTTTAATTCCATATATATTTGACGTTGAGTGACTTCACTCAACGATTTACAACTATATTTTATATTCAGGGAAAATCAGATAGGGGGTCAGTCGACCTTGACTTAAAGAAGCTCCGGTAAAAGCAGCGCCTATAATTGTGCAACTCTGTATACAGTTATGTCGGTTCATGTAAGAAACAGTACAGATTTAAATTTGTGGTAACTGCACGTAATAAATACGTATTGCGGATTTCGGACCGCCAATGAAAACAAAATTAGACGAGAGAGCCCAATCCGGAAATAACTTTATTAATGCTAGTCATTTGAGGACATAATCCACACGCATGTAACAAAACAAAACAATTTACTCTTTATTAGTCACTTATTCCTTTTACAATTTTGACGAACCCAGGTTGCCGTGCCGAATACGGTCTGTTAGTAATCCTAATAATAGTTTCTTCTTTACGTACATCTTCTTTCAAGTACCGTTGTATTAAGGAAAGTGTATTTAATTTTCCCTAGGAAATCTTTACTAGGAGTGAAAAGCACCTAAATTGAGTTTTTGAGGAATACGTGAAGGCGAGTCCCTGCTTGTGCCTAAAGTAAAGGAGGGGGAACATTTGATCCCTGTTTCGGTTGGTAGATTAAGAGAACAAGGAATTTGTGTCCATCGCCTCAACTCGGAAGGTTGGAAGAACATTCGTTATAAGGAGGTTCAAACAAGATTTGAAACATTCCCGAGCTTTAGAGCACGAAAATTAAACGCTCAGTTGGCGAATTTATATGGTCTTTCTCAAATTCAAGGGATGGGCAAATCCTAATGAAGAAGAAAAAATTGGACAAAACCCTACAAGAAATAAAGGCGCTAGCGCCCGACATCTGAACAGAAATTGTAAAAAGGTTCACGAGACCTGGCACTTTGGAGGAAATATCGTATAATCTACTTCAATACTTAAGTGTTAGACGTTCAAAAGCAATTGAACTAAGAAGGAGAGCGTTCAAGCGTCGTCCATATTACCTGCTAAGGGAGATGGAAAAGATTCCACCCTCACAGACGCATTTATTTGAGAAGAAGCAATTTTATCTTTTCTTAAATCATAAATAACGCAAAGAATATTTCCTCCCACAGAAAATCTAAGAGGTCTTCCTTCGTTAGCCAGGCGAAAACAAAGACCTCGAGAATGTTGGGAAGTTCTTCGAAGTAGTTCAGCGGAAGGTTCCTAAAGGTGTCCAGTGCCCACCTCCAGTAACTGGGAGAATAGGGCTACGCGACAATGACTCCCAGTTCAAGGGAGGGCAGTTGGGAGATTTTCTGCACCAGTTAGTGCCCCAACACACGGGAGGGGGATCGTCAGCGGCTATCAAATTCCTTTCGCATCTTCACCCTGTTCACTTCTGAGAGTAACTTGCGCTAGCATTTACATATAAGCAAGTTGTAAAAAGCAATTTCTCTCAGCAAGTACTCTCAGACACTTGTTTTCAGCTAGTGTTGGAATGTGCGTATATACACAGAAGATTTTTGATTTGATTTGGAACAACTCCGGAAATTCTTCGAAAGTGTTAATTAAAAAAGACGTGTCTTCTTTTGACCACACGGTTTCCCTACATGTAACACAGCACTGCACACTAACTTTCAACAAGATTGAAATAATTGTCAACTTGTTTAGACGTGCCAGATTTTGTTGCCGGCAAGATTTTGACTTGCTGGGAGAGAGCTCTCTATCACTGTTTACATAAGTGGTTCTCAAACTTATTTCCATGGCCTCCCTTTCATAAAACTAAAATTACTCACGCCTCGCCCCCATCACGTTTAAGAAATAGAAAGTGCTGTTACTACAAACGCATTTATTAAACAAATTTCAGCGTGAGTTTTTTTTTATTATGGGGACTCGGAAACCGTAAGAGATACAACGCCGTTTGGGGCAAATTTATGCAAAATTGTATGGTGATGAATTTTCCCTTCCAAAAAGGCTTTTAGGCCTACAAATATAGCGAATAATGGTCAAAAAACCGAAAAATGTCATTTTCGAGAATACGTTGGCGTCCATTTATTTTCAAAGATCAACAAAATTAACAAAAGCTTGGTAAATTTTTCTCAACTTTCTGATGGTTGTTATAGCCCATAAAATATTATGTTTTTCAATCATAACATCAACGGCTTTTGATGTCGTTTTTAGTTCATTCAAGATCTCTTCTTTTATAGCACATTTGCAACATCATATATCGCACACTGGCAACATTGCGCAACATCAATACTTTCAAAAAGGCGAATTTACCGGATTGTAGATACCTTCCTATTGGTGTAGGAATTGGTCAAATACAATTGTACATAAAAATACCTAATATAAATATTTTAAAGGTAAATATTTGGCCCAAACACATGAGGGATCTCGCGCCCCTCTTAACAACGCCTTGCGCTCCCCAGCTTGAAACACACTGGTTTACATTATGAGAGTTATTGAGAAGTGCTCTCTGACCAAACATGTGAGAGTTTTACTATTCCGTGTAAATTACGTTTTAGAAATTTCAACCCTCTTACTGTAAAGTTACAGTTTACATTCGCTGTTATAAGTGTATCTAAAGTCGGCGATACAGGGAGGATTGAAAAAGAGGAATATTTGGAATTCAGACGTATAAGGTGTGCGAAATTTGATGTCGTAATGTCGATAATTTTTGTTTGAATACAGCTGTACCTACTTAAGTTTCGGATATCGAAACTCATGACCAATATGCTGTCCTCGGCAGTCGGCACTGACTGAAGAGATCATTATCAAATGAGCGTGTCAGTACCTTCCAAACTCCTGATTTCAGAATTAAAGGAGAAATTAAGTAAAAAAATACCATTATAGCGGATTTTTGGAAATACAATCATTCATTCTCCTTAGTCCCCTTGAAAAAGAAACAAGGTTTCGATTGGGATTAATTTATGAGAGTGAATAGGAATGACGTGCCACGATATTAATTACATTTCAAACCATAAATCTCTCACAATTTTGTGCAATTATGCGAAATGATTTATTACGGTCAAGTATTGCCTTGGTTCTTTACTAATTGACCGTATATTACCATTTGCATTGCTTCTGGGAAGATTAATTGAATTAGTAAATCATTATTGTGGTACGTAGTCAGTAATTCGTGCAGTTTAATCATACTCATTACCACGTTAACAAATGGGAATTTATTTAAGTAATTACCAATAAATAATATGATGTCCTTTTACAATTGAAACCCAATGGAAACAGTTAATTATACATTTTACATTTTACACAATCCAAATATATACTGATGTAGTAGACTTCCTTTCAGGACATGAACAAAATTTGACTGTCCTGCATCATTGAAACTGTTTTTACTTGATGCCTGCATTTGAGGCTGCATTATAATTATTGCGAGATTAATTAGTGGGTACCTTTATTGCGACAAGTTCACCCTTTGTATTTAGGAAGGGACGTTTAGTCACTGACATCAACTTTGAGGTCATCATCTGCAGCAACCCATAAGTGTTTTTTCAACTTTAGGAAAAGATAGTAGTCGCATTCCTGGAAGCCATATTCATCGATAACTTGCGCCTCATTACAGAGTGTCCTGCATAATGCTTTGTAGAGATGCCCCTGCAGAAGGTCTTAGTTGTTCTATACTACTCCGGTATTCACCTTAAGAATTACGAAAACAGCAGGAAAACCTAATTCGGAGTAGTCGGCCGAATGCTCGAAACTGATCGAAAGAAATTTCCACCTCTGTCACAGATGAAAAATTCTTACCTCAGTCCAGGTTCGAACACCCGACCTTCCGGTTATGTATCCGAACGCTCTACCACTGAGACACATAGTCAGATTTTGAATCATCGTGTATGGATTCTCGACCCTTATTTCGAGCAGTGAGCAGTAACATTACTTGATGGAGCATTCTGTCGAACCCCTTGACCTATCAACCTCAACTTGGTGAACCACTTGCAATACTCATCCAAAAACCTCGTGACCAAAAACGTGTAATTTTTGAAAATCCTTAAGCATAAAAGCCACCGTTGTTGTTCTCTAGCGTGTGGACCTCTTAACTGTTCAAATAATCAAATTTGATATTAAGTGAATTCAAAAGAGATGATTCGGTAAAATTGATATTTGACTCAGTTTGGTCCACGGGTCATTACAAGTTGAAATGTGAGGTGTAGTTTCTTACTTACTTACTTACCTGTCTTTTTTGGCACTGTCGAGGTCCGTTTGGGTTTGTCGTTGCAACCTATTCCAAGGTTCTTGCAAAGGTGATTTCTCTGGGTCAACATCTTCACGCTTATTTTTGACGAACATTAAGGCGTTGGTCGGATTTTAAAATATTACTTCGCTGCAGGTCTCTACATCTTTACTGAATAGTACCTATTTGATCTTTTATATTGGTCCACGCGGTCACCACTGTTTTTGCAGGCCATAAGAAATACATTGTAAACTTCGAGGCCAAAATGCAAGATTGATTCCCAAGTGCTTAGTATGCCCGGTTTTGTAATTTTTTTCTATCGAATGACATAATAATCCAATAAGAAATAAGAAATTTGATGTGATTTACTCCTAACCCACAAGGCATAAAAATTTTATTTTAACACCATTAGGAACCTGTTGAACTGTTATTATTTTGCATATGAAAATTAATGCAACATCAACCTTTCATAAAAATAACAAAATATCCCATAAATGTTCTGCTATCATTGGATGGTGCTTCTCAAACCATCAATTAAATATGACATATCGATAAACTGAGTGCTGAGTGAGAAACCTTGTAATCATGCACTGCTCAGATTTTCAAAAAATCCAATTTTTAAAATAGCAAATGGAAACGACTGCGTTTGCTACGTTATATATAAATTCAATGGTTATAGCATATTCCTCGAACGTTGGGCCTTTGTAGCTCGTAATTAATACAAACATAATCTCATCTAATAAATAAAAAAGTAACAGTTATAACAAAACAAACTTACATCTAATATATCACAATGTTGGTCCGCGATCGATGGAACTATGACGATGATTTTATAATAAGGTACTTTGGTTTCGACGATGGCTTCTCTTTAGAAACTTGATACGATGGGGCATATCTAGATTTTATCCTTTTGACATTATGAATACGGTTCCTCAAGTTTGCACGCGCTGTGTGCCTGAATGGTCCACCCTGCTCGTACATAGCTGCCCTCTGTCCCCGATTGTACCGTGATGACGAACCCCACAAAGGTTCGCCGTAACGAGGGGGTTCCGCATAGCTTGGTGACAGTTCCGATGCCGCCGATAGTGGTCCAGCGGATGGCGCAGAGAGAAATTCGCGAGGTGTATACATAGCCCCATAATTATTGTCGCCTAATAGTGTGTTTCCACTACCACCATAAGACGGATAATTGTCAAAATTATAGAGAGGAGAATTGAACTGATTTCCTAATGGTTGTAAGTTGTTGGCACTGTAACTGTTGAATCCCATACCTATATTACGATTCCCGTATAATCCACTACCTCCAAATTGGTTCATTCCTGACAGTGACCCGGTTTGCAAGGAATTGACGTCGGTATATGGTTGTGGAGACATTGCATTTAACCCCATATTTCCCTGCATTGCCCCAATATTTCCATATTGGGGTATTTGTGGAAGCGTTGTGTATGTATTAGGGTAAGTAGAAGTTAACGTACTGTACTGAGGTGCAACACTTCCCAATGATCCCACTCCGTTGCTAAAAACAGTTGGAACGAATGGCGCTATACTTGGTGCTGTATTCATCACAGATGACAATGAAGGTATGGTTGTTTGCTTGAAAGCGTTGTTATAGGTGTCCAATTCACTGTACCCAAGGTTATTAAATTCTTTTATCTTCCTAGCTATCTCGTCGTAATGTTTTGTGTCCATTTTTGGTAGTTCCAAAGATTGCGTATTTGTAGAAGATGTTGCAGAATCCTGATACACATCCAAGATGGCTTTTTGTAATGCTTGTAACATGTTGAGGTATACCATCGAATTTGGCGATGCTACAATATAATTTACAATTGAAATCTGTCAATCGTTACACATTTTACCTTCACGCACGCTTGAGTGTTGGCCATTTGTAAATAACACTAAAGAGGACGGTAGCAAAATGCACACCTGGAATTAAATATAAATTCAATATGTCACACATGTAACGCACACTAACCGAAAAGTATAGCAAAATCATAGCCGCTCCTCAATTTTTGGTTGTAGCCGAAATGGTAACTGAGCCATCTATACGTTTGCACAATCTTATATCGTTAATATCCCGTTAAAAGAAAGTAAGTACCTTCATTTCTCTCGGTTTTTGTGGGGGCCTTGAGTAACGAATGCGTAAATGATTCTATATGGTTAGCCACTATCCTTACACGGTCCTAAAGTGGTCATAAATATACAATAATTACACGGTAGATTTAAATTCATCTTATCTGATTATTGAATTAGAGAATAATAAATAGATAAGTAAATGAATCTGCATACGACACACGTAACGCTTTCAAAACTCGAAAACGAAATTTTGATTTTGTTGCACTACTTTTTATTAACAATTAAACAATTTTGAATAATTATAACGAATTAGATGACTTTCATTGGGTTTATGTACCTCAACGACCGCGAAAAGAGGTGCATACATATATGGTTTTGCATTTTTTAGCACTTAACTGATTATTTATAACACTTTAGTGAAATGTTTATCAAAGATCTAAAAATTTTAATTATTATAGAATACTTTCTCCGTAATGTATACATACGTTACAGAATATTTTTTTAAACAAGGTACCATAACAATCAATTGCTTCGGTTGTTAAGAAACATTCATTACTTTTTTTAAATAGAATTTACTAATAGTGAGAACCGATACCGCTGAAGCTCAAAAAACGTCTTGTGAAAGTAAAAGTTTATAAATTGCTATTAAACTGGCCAACTGGGCGTGATGCATAGCAAACTTAATTTTAGCTTGAACACTTGCGAAGGAATCATAAAGCACAATATGGTTGGCAACAATTGATGACACAAGATGGCCCAATCTCTTACAACGGGCAACGTCGTAAGCGATTTGTCTCAAACACTTTCCATGCAAATTTTTCCCAATTTAAAACTACTCCAATAAAGTAAACTTTATTGCACTGACCTCTTGTTTAGCTTTAGCGGAACGCAATTCTAACACCTTATCCTTAGCTTAATCGTTCAAAACGTATGACGATAAAAACTATGCAAAACCGCCCTTAAAAGCAAGTAAAATATTGCACTACTGTGTTCTCGTATGACCTTCGATATGATAGCACAAATATTTTATAAGCATCTCTATGGATTTTCATCAAAGTTTTACGAAAATTTCTTTTGTAGAAGACCATCTCCATATTTACAAACGGAAATATATTAAATCTTTCGGTTCTAACTTAATACTGACACATTGCTTCAAAGTGATGCAAGATTTAGGAGGAGTTGATGGTGTGCGTCTGTCTGTCTGTTCGTGAACACGATAACTGTCAAACGCTTGCACCGATTTGGTTCAAGGTTTGCACAGTTGACCTTTATGCCACATGTAATAATCCTATTGAAAATGGGTCATGATCCCGTGGGGTCACGCTTCTCTGTCCTTGCCAAACGCTTGAACCTATTCGGTTGAAACTTTACACAGTAGACTTATATGTCGCATGCAACAACACTATTGAAAATGGGTCAAATCCACTGACCCCGTGGGCTCACGTTTCTCTGTCCGTGCCAAACGCTTGAACCTATTCGGTTGAAACTTTGCACAGTTAACTTATATACCACATGTAACAAGTCAAATCCAATGACCCCGTAGGGTCACACCGGGGTGCTCTTCCGCTTTTGAGATGCTTTTTAGGGGTTTATTTGGTTTATATACATGTGAGAAAAATTATTGTTCTTATTTCAGGATTGTTTAAATAAATTTCATTGCCACCAGAATTTATAAACGTATAGCAATCTTGAAATTATAATGCTGGTTTTGAACATCAACCAATTTCAAATTTTTGGTGCTCATTTAAAAATGTGTTCATTTATTTTGTGTTATTATTTTATTTTCATGCTTCAGAACAGGAACATATCTCAATTACAATAAAGCAGGTGGGCAAATTCGTGGCTCAACGTTGGGATTTCCGTAACGGTGAGGCGTAGATTAAATGGGGGCAAATTTGTTCCTTTTTATCACTAAAAAAAGCATTTTAAATGTTTGAAAAATCTTTCAAAATAACTGAAATATCACCGAAAACCTGTAAATATTAAATTTTGTTTTCATTTTCCATAGCTTAAACGGTTGGAAATAGACGGCACCTTGTATGGGCATTTTTTTTTTGGAGAATTTGAATCTGAATCAGAATTTCCAACACGCCAGATGTAAAAGCTACAGGCTACTACTTCCTTGTTTCGTATGGACGCCATATTTAACTTTGACGGAATAAGATAGAAGACAAAAAGAGATAAATGAATAATGACGGGTCACACTCATTACTTTTACATAAATTTACAAGAAAAATTTCAAAATCTAATGTTTTACATTCATTTCTCCACAAATCATCGAAGGGTAACTAGATTTTTCTGAATTAACATCGCTATGATCGCCATGCATTCCAATGAATCTCTTTGTTCTTTATATCATTTCGTAAAAATCCAATATGGCGTCTATAAATAAGAAAGTAGGCCTATAGCTTCTACCTTTAGCGTGTTATGGAAATTCAAAACTAAATTTGACATTTTCAGTTTGTCTGTAATATCTCAATTATTTTCAAAGATTTTTAAAATTTCAAATGAATTTTTTAGGCGCAATAAAGGACACCTTTGCACCCATTAAATTTACACTATGGTTACGGGGATCTCAATGGTGTGCCATGTATTAGAACCACTTTGTACAAGTACAAGTTTCGAAAGTAAAAAAAAAATACCTACATTGCATAACGTATAGTGAACACACTATATAATATAAAAATAATTCCTTATAGTATCATAAACAGAAAAATGATCTAAAGGGGAGGAATAAAAAATTTAAGACATAAACTGAGCGCATCTAATTCTACATAAACAACTAGAACAATGAAAAATAGCAATATGAGAAGCAATAATATTATACAGACTTAACAAAAAATATCAAAGAACAGAAATATACATTTGTGCTGCAACGAGAACTCTTAATTTGAATTTTTTGCAGATATAAGTAAAGTAAATAGTATCAAGTTATTAACATATCATAGTTACAAATTATTATTTTAAAGTTGCAAATCGTCAGCATACCTATAGATGATGATATTTGCAGTTTGTGATGACATCCGGTAGACCACTTGTAAAAATAATAGAAAAAAACCCGAGGGACGCAGTTATAGTTCGGGGGCCATTTACTACCTCATTTAGCAGAAAAATCGCTGATTATTATGAATAGTGTTAGTTATCATAGTAGCTTACTAGAAAACTTGCCAAATTCTTCCTGGACTAGTACAGCTACAGGCATGGGTATACAGCACAAAAATGTTGAATTTCCAATTGATGCATTAAAAACGAAATTGCTGGAGATTGTTACGAGGTCTGTTTGCTTAAATAATAAATTCTATTCAGCATGGTTTAATGGCATGGTGCTGAAGAGATGGCATTAGAGTTTGCAAACAATATTATAGCCAACACATTGGCGAGAAAGGTTATGATGGTAGATAACTATCACAATAAATCTTTTAGTAAATGTTTTTGAAAAAATCCTCGAACACGTCAATCATCACTTTAAATAAGACATATTTTGCTGTAAGTGCCAGTTAAGGATCGTCTTGTAAAACTAGAAGAAATTATTTCGAATATTTAAAAACACAGTATCGTACTTTTTTAGCATATTTGGTCTTAGAATTTCATGCTTTTTCAAAATTTAGCACAAAAATAAGTTTCCCATTTAAAAAAATTATCGCTTGCGTCTTATCTCAAACACAAAAGACGATCCTTATGAGACAACTACAGTTAAATATGTCTCATTTAAAATCAAAGTGGTGTTCGAAAATTTGTCAAAAACGTTTACTAAAAGATTTGTTGTGAACGAACATTCACTCGCACTGTTAATAATCGAGGATCATACCTAGCTTTCAAGCATTTGCATTTTTTTATTATATCATCGGTATAGCAGATTAGATACGATGAACAACTTCTAATCTGTCTTCTAGGACAATGACTATTTAAAATGCCATCATAAGTGATATTGTTAAATTCTCGAACTATGTTGTTCACATCGTATAAATCGTGTCCGATGTTTTTATTTAACCGTTGGTTCTACCTGATCACGCATCAATTTTAAAATACTGTAATTACTGTTAGTTATTAAAATTTATTACTATTACGCCTACGCCTGTTTTAGATAAACTGAAATGAGTAGAGCAGAAATCAAATCAGATTAATTCGTGTCTTCTACATTTTCTTATAGGACGATATAACTGATTCGTCGGTACGTGTCTAGCAAGTAAACCTTCAAAGCAGAGACTTTTCCGCGAAATGCTAAATTATCATGTAATATGTAGGTATTCCAATATATAGTCAGAAATGTATTCCCTTACAACGTCTGTATTTATACTACAATAGGCGACTTCATTTGACAACATTGGCAGGTAATTTAGATTTTTAATTGCCTCTCATTTTATAATTCCTATTTAGATTGTATTATTATCTCCCTTTATTACAATTATCCGTCTTTATGTACCTGTACAATGGCTTTTAACATCTAAACGTATAGGTAGGTGCTTACATACATCGCAGGAGAATTCATATATGGCTATGATTCTTAGATCTCATTTAATTACCTATTTGTCAAAAACAGAGACCTAAGTGACCAAAATTATTATTTAGGTATTGATCAGAATGCCATCAAACATATCACCAGAATCTTTCGAATTTCTTTCACGAATACGTTGCAGATGATTGGATGTATAGCAGGTAAGTACTCCAAATGGAGTTGATCAAATTATCCGTGAGAAAAACTCGAAGGCTTTCAAATATGAATGTCGAACACCTAATATTATAATAATAAAATGAGAAACTTACTTAAAAATACTTGCCATGATTCCTGAAAAGAAAATTTTTTTTATTTGAATATATTTTGGAGCTCCTCAATTACCTACTCAGATTATTGGTGCTCCGGCTTGGTAATTACAATACGTGGTTACACTATTTTATGCAATATGATGTGGTAAGAGAGATAACATTATAAAACATTTTGTCGTTGAACCATAAAAGTGTA